CACCACTCGGTCCTGACTCTTTCTCTCTCTGTCTTCCCCAGCTGCCCATTCCGCCCAGGTGCAGCCTGTACGTGAGGCCGCCAGAAGGAAGAGCCGGAGGGTCTGCAGGCCTCGGCCAGTAGGGACAGCCAAGCCCACCCTGGACACTCCTGATGGAGAGTTTAGGTTCAATTTCTTTTAGCCTCTTCCCCGTCCTGGAACAGTCTTCCTCCCCCCTGGGGTCATGTGGGGGTTTGTTTTGAGGGCAGCCCCTGTCCAGGAATTCTCTCTCTGCAGACGTGGGGTTGGTCTGTCCTTGGCTGCTCCGTGGATTTAGGGCTGCTGGGCAGGTGTGACAATGTCAGAGAAACACCAGCCCCGTTTGTAGGTTTTCTGAGGAAATGTCCCTCCTGCCAGAAGAGAGAGGTGCGTTTAGAAAATGTACAGTGAGCTGATGTGAGCGCTCAGTGTGCTGCAGAAGGAATGTCGCACTCAGCTTTAGGGCGACATTACGTAGCTTTTGGTCATAAGGGTCAGTGGGGGAGCTACGTCATTGGATGCTGGCGCTCACCTTTGAAAGATGCCTGTGAGATGGTTAGTGCTTTATGCAATACGTCACATTGCCCTAATAAATTTGTTTTTTATAAAAATGGATAATGAGTGAAAGTTTGCTGATTGTTTGTGTTAGAGGAAGTACAGGTGACTCGGGTCTGGCACCGCTGGGTTCAGGCCCTCACCTCAGAGCTTGGTTTTTGTCCATGTCGCCTTCATTCCTGAGCAGGCGTCACCTTCACAGGACCACTGTGACCCCATCCAGGCCAGGTTCTCTTCGTAGGAGCAGGGAGCTTCTTGTCCTAACACCCCTGGCCATGGACCTGGATTGAGCCTCAGCAGACAACTTGGCTAAGTGTTGGCCGCTCCAGGTGTCAGTCCCAGGCCTTCTGCTCCATTGAATCGGGATGTCCAGGTGACCGAATCCTCAGCAGATCTTTGCTGGTGTCTCCTGAACTTGCATCCCATACTAGATAGATGCCTGGAGCCCAGCTGCCCACTCAGCATCTCTACTTGGGTGCCTCGTAGGCATTTCCAATTTGACATGTTCAAAACACCTGATCAGGCCCCAAATGTCCCTCTGTCTGCTGCTTTTTAGTGAATGGCGCCACTGCCTGCCTAGGCGATTCATGTGTCATCTTGCTTGCTCTTTCTCCAGCACTGTGTGTTTGATATTTCAGCTGGTGTGTCTGCTCTGTCTTCAAGTAAACCTCAGATCTTTTCCGTTTTCTGTGTCTTTGCTGCTGCTCGTTCTAGTCCTGGCGCATCTCTTACCCTGACTGCTGTGCTCACCTCGGGTGTTTGTCGGTCTCCCACTCCCTTCCTCGCCTCCTGTTGTTCTGAGCCAGAGTGGTCCTTCATGAATATTGGGTCATGTTTCTCCTGATCTCCTGACTTCACTGTTCTGAGGATACAAGACAAAGGCTGACGTACAAGGAAGGCCCTACCTAGGGCCTGCACGTGGGTATGTTCCCGATGGCCTCTGTGACGTGGTCCCTTCCCTGCTTCTCAGCCTTGCTGGCTTTCTGTCTGCTCCTGAAGTAACCAGACCTAACCCTGACTCAGAGCCTTCAGCCTTGCTGTTCTTTCTGCCGGGATTGGTCTCAGTTGCTCCATCTTAGCATAACTGGCTTCTGGGACAGCAAACATCAGCTTTGTGTGAGGAAGTAGTTCTCCACCCTGTGGTTTATCCGGCCAAGGTGACACCCAGATGTAGCCAGGAGTTTCCTCCCGCAGTTGCCTGTAGATGTAAATGGTCATGTGACCCCTTTGTCTTGAGTGTCTGCTTTCTTACCAAGTATCTTTGCTCACTAAGCTCATAGACACTTTGCTGTTAGAAATCATCAGTAAGAAGGAAACATCCTGATCTCAAGAAGATGCCTCGATCTACAACCCACATGCAGACCTTCAGATGAGGGGTTTGGGGACATCACATTCCACATCTGTCTGAATTTTGTGGTTTCCAAGGAAACAGGAGCCTGGTCCACTTCACAGTTCACGCCTGATGTTTGTCCCTGTGACACAGCCCTGTCTTCCTGTGTCCATCCACACACTGCTTTATTTAGACTTCACCTAAACCCCCTTCCACTAAATCCTACAGGAACCCTCTCTGGTGAGATGCTCCACGGATCTGCTGTGCAGTCTCCCTTATGGGAATGAGCCGATAAACTGACCTGGACCATAGGCTTGTCCTTCATGGACTTTGAATGATTACACT